GGGATCTGTGTATGTGTGCAGCCGGTCGGAGGTCGGCAGCCTCAGAGTCACGGCCGGTTTCCTCTTGGAAGTCGACTTCTCGGCCGCCGTCCTGAGCAACCGACTCAATCGCTGCCTGGGGGCCAAGGGACTGCAGACCATCATCGCATTCGACGCTCAGCTGGACCGGCCTCTGCTGCTGAAGGCCATCTGGCTGGTGGACACACAGCAGTGGTCCGAGGTGGCCAATGCGCTGAAGGTGGCGGCGCCGAAAGGCTTCTGCCAGCTGCCCATCACAGTGGCTGTGGCCGACATGCAGCGTCACGATAGCAAACAGGTGGGCAGATGAGGGTGGGGCGGGGGGGGGGCACTCATCGGTCTGTCTGTCTGTCTGTCTGTCTGTCTGTGTGTGGTGTCTGTGTAGGCGTATTTGGCCGATGTGCGTGTGATTGCGCTGTGGAAGATGGTCGGCCGACACGTCAACTTCGGCGGTGACTACGGCCGTTTTGAGCTGTTCGACCAGGCGGGCGGCGGTGTGCGTGCCATCAAGGACGAGCCGGGCTTCGAGCTGGGCATCGACCCGCCCCTCCCCCCCGCCCATCCATTCCACCCACACACCATCAACGACAACCCCCCCGTCAGATCCACAATCGGCCGGCAGGGGGGCAGCTGGACGGCCGGTGGTGACGAGACCACTGATGCGTCGGCGTCATCCTTCATCATGGGGGTCATCCTGGACTCTTCAGCGGCCAATTTGGGCATGACGCCTTGGGTTTACGTGGACCGGTACGCAGGACACGCCTCACTCAGGCGCACACATCCATCGATCCATCAGGGCCTCTTCTGTGTCATGTGTTGGTCTCCTCAGGCATGCCCACGGCGGTGTGCTGGACGGCCTCCTGACCCAGTCGCCCCACCAGCCGCCTCACGGATGCACCGCCGTCATGGCTTACAGGTTGGACAATAGGAATCCCCCTGAAGAGCTTCGGGTTCTGCTGCTGACGCACTTCGATGGCCCATTCGTCGCATTTGTCACTCTCATCACCCGTGCCGACACGACCATGGGTAAGAAAGGGGTCAGAGATCCTTTGGTGATGGAGCCATCCTTTGACGTGTGCTGTGTCGCTGAATGCAGTGGGTGTTTCTGCCATCACCACCGAGCCGCCAGTGGGTGATGCATCGGCTGCCTTCAAGGACCGCCGGCCCTCTACCGTCTCTCTGGTGGGCGGCCCCCTGGGCAGCACCATTGCAGACATGGTGGTCAACCAGCAAGAGAAAGTCGCTGAGGGTGAGTGTGCAGCCAGCCGCCTCCATCTCGGTATGTCGGTGGGATGAATCGGCGTGTGTGTGGTGGTGCAGAGGAGGGGGCGGATGACGACGATGGCGATGGTGGTGAGGGTAAGTGGTCTGTGTAGTGTCCAGCCCGCCTTGCTAGGTGTCTTACTCGTGTGTGTGTATGTGTGTGTGCAGAGGATGATGATGACGGTGCGGATGACGGCGACAGCGATGAGGGTGAGTGGAATACGTGTGTGTGTGTGTGTGTGCCCATTTGTATGTTTGCGTGTCTTGGGTGTGCAGATATGGAGGGCGACATCGACGGCGACGGCGACGGCGATGGCCAGCAGCAGGAGGAGGATGAAGAGGGTGAGATGGGGGCAGGGGATGAATCAGATCAGAGCGACACACATGCATTCCTTCGGTGCGTCATGGCTGTGATGTCTGCCTCAATGTGTCAGGTGAGGGTGGGGAGAGGGAGGCCAAGAGAAGAGGCTGGAGGACAGCTAGGCTGCATGCAGGTTGGTCGACTGCGACACTGGTCGGTGGGGTGGGTGGTGGACGGATGGATGGAGGATGGAATCGGGAGGCCAGACGTAGCTACCGTATGCAATGCACATGATGCAGACATGACGTGCGTACGATGCATTGATGTGATGTGTCCATGTTGTCACTCACCGACGAACCCTTTCTGTGTACACGTACGTATGCGTTCTTGACGGTGAAGCTAAGCTGCTTTCCTTCCGTTTGTTCTTCGTGTCCACAGATACACACACCAACCAACGGCATGGCATGGCACACACAACCTCGGCCCATAGCATAGACACACGCACGAAAAACAGGCAGACAGGCAGACATCCACCTCCCCTCCCTCACCACAAAGCCCATATATCCCATCCACCAACTAGAGTCTTCCTACCACACTCTCTGTCTACCTACCTCTCTGTCTACGGCTCGCATCATCACCCCCGCCCCTCACCCTCACCCTCACCCTCACCCTCCCCTGTCTGCTGCTGCTGCTGCTGCTCCTCCGTCATGGCGAAGCTGCTCACCCCGGCCTCCTGCTGCTCGTTCCCCTCGGCCACGGTGGCGTGCTGCATCGGCTCCGCCAGGAACAGGTCCAGTGCGGGACACTTGAACGTCTCGTACGACTGGAGGATGGCCGTCAGATACGCCTCCAGACGACGGCCCCGCTCCTCCTTCTCTCGGTCCTCTGTGGTGCACATGGGATGGGCAGAGAGGGTGTGTGTGGGGGGGGAGGGAAGGAGTGCTTGGCTTGGCTTACGTGCTGCTCGTGTGGCGAGTAGGGTGAAGCCCCTCTGTGGGAAGGGCGGCAGGAGGGACATGCCCGTGGCCGGGGACGAGAACTTCTTGGCCAGCTCCCAGTGCAACTCCTGACATACACACCACACCACACACGCACCACACACACCATAGACACACAGACAGACAAACAGACGGGCGAACCGACCTCGAATCGTCTGTAGGGTCGCTCGATGGCCCATGTCTTGACGCCGGTGGGCTTGCACCGGTACAGCTGCAGGGCGTACGCAGTGTCCTTCTCCTGATGCACCGTCACCGTCTGCCACATCCGGCAACGCACCTGCACACCATCACACACCACACAGCCAACATGACCACTGTCGGTGTGGGTGCCCATGCATCCCATCCATCCCTCCATCACATAAGCCTTACGTGCCACTCCTGCACTGGCTCTGTAGAGCTGCCAGGTGGCCGAGAAAGCAGCGGGGGCGATGGCGCGCTCTTGGGCTCAGCTGTGAGGAACGAAGGACGGGCGGTGGTTGTGCGCTCTAGTATATCAATCACACAGACATCACACGGACACTCACACGACCTCGCTGATGCTCGCACAGACAGCCGCACACACACACAGAGAGAGAGGTCCACTCACCTAACACATCGGCAGTGCCCGGCTGCTGCACCCGGCGGGACATTTCAGCGGCGCCCTCCGACTCCATCGCCATACTGACACCAAACCCCCCCCACACACATACAGACACCAGCCCCCATTGTGTACCTATGTGTCTTGTGTGCGTTGCCTCCTTCCCTCCCGCAGGCCCACCAACCCACCCACCTTGGCAGAGAGATCGACTCGCTGCCCGACGAGGCCTTCCGCGCCCATGCGTGTGTGTCGCCGCTCGGTGAGGAGGCCGTTGGCCGTGGGACCTCATTCATGGGGATCTGCAGGAACTCCCACAAGTCAGGACACGAGGCACACGCGGCGTCCTGCACCACCTGTAGATATGCACCAACACACATACAGACAGACAGACAGACAGACCGACAGACAGACAGACAGACCGACAGACAGACAGAGAGGCGTCGATGCGTGTCAAGAGGGAGGGGGCGAGGGGGAGGGGAGGGGGTGTCTGAAAGACCTGGTTGAGCCAGTCGGTCAGGTCAGCTTTTCGTTTCTCGTAGAACCAGTGGTCGCGCTTCATGGTGTAGAACTTGCCGGGCAGCTTGGGCGGCGACACCTCCAAAATGCGATGCAGCTTCTTGAACAAGATGTCGAACTCACTGCACACACACACAGACACACACACACACACACACAAAGAAAGATAGAGAGACGATCTCACAACACCGCCGCCCGTGTGTCTCCTCTGCTCTTAGCTACGCACACACCCATTCGCACCTCACCGGTATCTCTTGACGACGGTGGATGTCCGGTGCATGGTGCTCGTGACCACCTCGTATATGACATACGGCACCACCCCAGGCGTCCCCTCCTGCACCAGCTTGTAGCGGTCGATGCTCACACGCACAGGAATCGGCCCGCCAGGCCCCTCCACACTGTAACCCACACCCACTCCCCCACCAACACCCACACCCACGCCGCCCTTCTCTCCCTCGTGTGCATGGGAGTACGCAGACGACGACAGCTGCGCAGAGGACGTCAAGACGATTTGTTGGTCGGGCTGCATCAGCATCTGCTCCTCGGCCGCTGCTGCAGCAGCAGCCGATGGTGCCGCTGCTGCTGCTGTGTGGCGGGGGGGACTGCCCTCCCTCTCTCTCTCGAGTGGCGATGGGATATCGTCCTGGGCCACGTCGATTGACGCAGCCTCTGAGTAGGTCTCGTCAGAGGGCTTCCGCAGCCGAAGGGGGTTGTCGGGCTCAAACCTGCAGCACGTGTGTGTATGTGTGTGTGTTGGTGTGGTGCTGGCTGAGTGGAGTGGCTTGCTGACCGTTTGATGGCCTCCTTGTGCGCTTCGGTGAATGGCCGCTGCTCGATGACACTGAGCCCCAGGAAGTTGAGCAGCTCCGGCAGCCAGAAGGCCTCCTGCTGCACTATCACCTGAACAAACATACAAATTAAGAAACGACCCCATTCACTCACAGACAATGGTGCACAGCTGGTTTCTCTCCCGCTTTCACCCGAATGTACGCCTCGAGCCCTCGTCGCCGCTGGTCGAGAAATGCCGGGCTCAGTGTTTCCTGCACAGCACAGACAGGGACACACACACACACATATGATATGACCAGATCAAACCCAACGGAATGCGGAAGGCGTGGGCCTACCTGTCTGAAAGGTTCCTTTGGCGGCAGGTGCGGCAGTCTGGCGTACAGCTCGGGGTAGCGGTCGCGGTTGAACTGCGACTGGAACACGCTGTTCAACGCCGCGAAGTCAGCATACCTACACAACATACACACACATGGACACAGACAGACGCAACAATCAGCTCTGCTCCTTCTGTCCATGCGTGTGTGTGCTTGGCTGACCGTTTGAAGGACACTCTCGGCCGCTGCTCGCCCTCCAGTCGAAGCAGCATCTTGTACCTACACCAACCACCACCAACCAAACACACATACACCTATGCCAATGCCCCGTCTCCTCCCCCGCCCACCATTCACTCACTCGGCATGTATTCGATGCTGCACCGGGTCCGTCTGCAGCACCACATTCGACAGGGCCACATGCAGCTTTAGCGGCAACCTCTCGCCGCCACTGCCACCTCCACCACCACCTCCACCACCACCACAACCACCACCAAAAACACCCTCAGCATCCCCCTTAGCAAAGACATCCACAGCTTGCGGCGGCAACGATGTCTGGTCAGCACCGCCGTATCGCACTGCCCCTGGGTGGTCGACGGTGACTCGGTCGAGCAGGTCGGGCACTCTTGGCAGCAGGACGGTGGGTTCGCCGCGGTTGAGTCGTGTGATGAGGGGCAGCAGGGCCAAAGGGATGTCCGCAGGCTGGTAGAAGGACAGACACGCCAGCACTATCTGTAGAGAGCCAGGCGGACAGACAGACAGATCACGTCGATTGATGATCCATCCTCACCTACCCACCCACACTCCGCCCAGCCCCACCCCACGTACCTCGCAGATGGATGTGAGGAGGATGATGCAGGCCGTCCAGAGGAAGAGTGACGACCTGACGGGCAGCTCCGGGAAGGGGTCGGATGCCCGCGGGATGGCCCAGCCGGGCGGCATGAGGCCGACGGTGAAGGCCAGGACGAAGATGCCCGCCCGCCAGATGCCCTCCACCCCGCCCACCAGCCAGAATCCGCGCAGCCCCAGCCACGACTGCGGCAGGAACCGCTGATACTCCATTGTGCAGAGCACCAAGGAAAAACCCTGACAGCACACAGAGGTAGAGACAAGTGCACAGAACAGACACACGCATGCATTCCTGTCTGTCTGTCTGTCTGTCTGCCCCCACCCATAGGACGAGGTGGAGTGTCCAGGAGAATTGGATATATGGTGGGGAGGCCGGCTTGAACCACGACAGCAGGGCCAACACCTATACACACAAAACACACAAAGCCAGGGCAGCACATACACGTCACGTGCCGGCCGGCCGGCCACATCCCACCGCACATACTTACCGCAGAGAGGCCGCACATGAGCCCGCAGAAGGTCTTCTTGGCCACGTGGACCGGCGACCTGCCGATGCATCCATCCACCAACTTGACTTGATCCACGCGCGCACAGGCAGCTCAGCTGGCTGACCGACTGCCTCGGGTGCGTACCTGTCTGGCGGGCTGGAGATGGCTGATGTGTGCAGCTCAAACCACCGAACCACAAACAGTACCAGACTCAACAAATACCACAACGCGATGCAGCTGCAGCGATACCGACACCGACACACAGCGGAGATACACTCACATTCCTTGCCCGCCTGATTGCCTCTCCTTCACTGCCGTGCCTGCCATCAGTCAGTCATGCGGCTGACCTTTCGATAAAGCAGTCGGTGACATATCCATGGGAGATCTGACAAGAAAAGACACAAACACGCCATCGTTGTGCTTCTGGTGGAGCGTGATGGTCCTGCAGCCACGCCATCTTACCAGCCCATTCGGGCCGCACCAGCCCTCAACAGGTCTGTTCATTGTGAGTCCTTCTGAGCAGCAATGACGGAGCCGGGCTCTAGGCGGCCGTAACGCGACGCGTTCTGCCCCTTCCGCCCTCCCTCTCTCCCTTTGCGAGCTCAGCTTGCGCTCTCAGCTCGCGCTGAGATCTCAACCCATCCAAGCATCTACGCCCTGCAAGTACCGCAGATCATCACAACGATCAGATCTTTGAGCTGAAAAGACGAGATCTTTGCGCCGCTGAGCTCCATCAGATTCTGCAGTGCACGATATGGAATCGTCGACAAGCGCCGCCGCTGCCAGCTCATCCGACTCGTCGCCGCTGCCAGCTCATCTATCGTGGTTCCAAGAAGATCCTCGACCGTCCCGTGGCCTTCCTGGGCATTCGGCTGTCAAGCAGCGTGTTCCTGTGGGTGGGCGACACCGTGCCGAATCATGTCCTCGAGAGCATGCACGTCGCATTCCCCTCACACCTGCCCACACAGGTACGGGAGGGACGAATGAATGCAGCAACGATTTATGAACCCTCTTCCTCTGTTTGCTCTGTCTGTGTGGCTTGACGTGGGGTGGCGCAGGAGAGTGCTGTGAATGGGAGCCGCAGTTCGTCTGAACGGGTCGGCAGCTGCACCAGTACATGCGTCATGGGGCCTATGGCGAGCTGGTCGCCAAGTTCCTCGGTCCGCACACACATGTACACTCCCGTTCACAGCCACTCACGCCTCACACATTTTTGCCGCTGTGTTTGTGTGTTTGTCCTTCAGTGAGCCGTTTTGGCGAGCCCATCTACGTGAGCTGTGACTTGACGCCCGAGGTCACCGAGGGCCGCCCAGATGGGGCGCTGGACTTGGAGTCCGCCATGAGGCTCCATGCCGCTGTGCAGTGAGGGAGGCTGGGGCAGATGGTTGACTGACTGACGTGTACTATCGGTGGGTCTGTTGGGTGTGATGGATGCAATCAACGAGAGAGACTCGGCCGTTTGATTGATGACCCAATGTGTCAGAAATGTTCTTCGGATTCAAGCAATCAACACACGAGTTGAGCAGAAAGCTGCCATGGTCCGCCCCGACCCCAGCCCCAACACCTGATGCCTGCCTGCCTGCCACCGCCCCACACGAACAGCCAGACAGATAAGATAGATAGATACAGCAAGGCCTGGAAGACACCAGAATAGACTAGGTAGATAGAGAGCAAGAGCCCAGTCGCATTCCAAATACCATCCATCAACCATCCCTCAGTGTTTCTATGCACCCTTTCCCACACAGCAACTGGCTGGACTGGACTGCCTCCGGTTGGCCAAACCAATACATACATGTGGGTATGCATACCCCCTGCCTCCTCCCCTCCCTCGCTCCCTTTATCTGCACCACACGCCGGTCAGTCAGTCGATCTAACCGACACACAGCGTTACTTTTGCAAAATACCTGTCTGTCTGTCTGTCCGAAAAAGGGCTCACAAGCAAATGTTGTTCGTGCGTCCATCTGTGTGGGTAGGTAGGCAGTCACTTCGTTCGCAGCAACATGCGAGACGGGAAAAGAAAACCGGCGAACCTCTCTCTCTCTTTGTGGGCCTGGCTGTTCAGGGGCTGGCCATGGGCATGAGCATGTCAAATGCCTCCCGCACCTTCTGGAACATGTCGGTGGCCTTGTCCTGCTGTGTGTGGTTCTGCCGACGGTCGGGATGCCACCGCAACGCCGCCTGACGATACGCAGCCTGCGAGACGTACGCACGTCGCTGCAGTGTTGGGCAGGTGCTCTGTGTCACGCCACTTAGCACCTTTAGTTGGGCCTGCGATGGTATTGCCGTGGTTGGCAGGTCCAGCACTCTCAGATGCTCAACAGGCAGGGCCCACTGCCTCTTCGCCGCAACGGCTCCCTGCCTGCATACACAGTACCCCCAAAGGCATCCGGTCAACGTCCCACTCGCTCTCCTCTTGCTTTGTCCCACCCACCTGTGTGACTGCTGTGATGATGGCTGCGAGGGGTGAGTCGGCCTCGAGCCCCCTCGGCCAGGCACATGCTCCCGCCCCCTGGCAGCACTGCCACTCCCAGCCCTCGCTGACGCAGAAGGCGCTCCTCCCGACGGCCCCCTCCCCCTCCCACCTCCACCACCACCTGTTCCACCACCAGCCATGGAGGGCCCCCTGCCTTTCGGCAGCCCCTGGCCCCTCTGCTGGTTCTGGTAGGCCGGTGACGTGTAGTAGTTGGGTTTCTTGGTCTGTGGGTAGGGCTTCCTCGCCGCCCGATGGCTGGCACCGCTGGAGCTGCTCGTGTCCCGTGGGCGGCGGCTGCGCTGAGGGCCGCGCTGCCTCCGGCGGCTGGGCAAATCCGATGAGAGGTCCGACGATGTGGTCTCCGAGTCGTAGAAGCGACGGGTGGGGGAGATTTCCTCGGCCGATGCGGCACGGTGGATCGGTGGGGGCGCACGCGGTCGTGGCGGGGGGGTTCTGAAGCGACGCTGCGCCTCCTGTTCCCATTCCCTTGGCTCGGTGAACCACCTCTCCTTCTGGCCGCCGCCCCGACCACCGCCCTTTGCCTTGGCTGCCTGCTGCTGTGGCTTGGACGGGGGCGGCCTGCTGGTCTCCCTTTGAGGTTGTTCTCTCGGCCTGTCCTGCCTCTGCTGGTTGGTGGACGCTCGCACATTGTGTACCCATCCGCCATCGGCTGTGGCAGCACGGTTGAAGGCGTATGACGTCGGCCGCTTCTGCCAGTTGAATGGAGCCTCACCTTCGCCAGCCGAGTCCCCCCTCCCTGCTGGCTGTGTGGGTCTGAGAGGGGGAGGCGCGGTGGGTCCCGCAGGTCCACCACCACCAGCAGCAGCCGTAGAAGCAGCAGTGGGGGCGGCAGGGGGCTGCTTCCGCTGCCCCTCGCTCAACGATGGGCGGGAGGCTCGGGGTCGGCTCTGCTGGTGCTTCCTGCGTATCTCGCGGATCTTCTGCAGCTCCTCGATGACCTCCTGCAGCACCTTCTCGGCGTCCTTGACGTCCAGCTCACACGCGATGGCGTCGCCGATGGCCGACATCAGGATCTCTGGGTCGCGCGTTTCGACGGCGAAGGTGAGCTTCTCTTGCGCTCGCACCTCTTTCTGCCTGTTGTCCAGGCGGTTGAGCGCTTCGGTCTCCTCGGCGTGAAGGCGATCGGCGAGATCGAACACCCGAGGGTCCAGCTGCAAGACACCACGGACAAAGAGAGGTTCGATATTGCGCATGTGCTGTGTATGTGGCGTCCATAGAGGGAGGGATTGTCGCTCACCTTCATGTTGATAGCCGCTGCGTGTTCGATCCACATATCGAGCTGCACCCGATCAGCTTGTGCAATGGCCATGAGCAGCTCCTGGTGCACCACCAGCGACTCCTCCGTGCGCGAGAGCGCCTCGGCCGTCTCCCTGAGGGAGCCCATGATGTCGACACCCTTGTCCCTGCCCTCCTCCAGCGCAGTCAGCAGCTGGTACATGGCGCCGCTCTGCGCCGCCTCGATGATGACCTTCTGGATGGTCTCCCTCCCCTCCTTGCCGTCGCCCTCCCCTCCCTCACTCTGCCAAACGGCCGTCTGCAGGTCCAGCTCCTCCTTGAGACGGAACCACCATTCGCCGCACTGCCGCTTCAGCTCGCTGAAAGTGCCCCGCAGGTCTTTGAGCAGGTCTCTGTACTCCAGCCGGATCATCGTGTTGGACGGCGACTTGGCGGCGCGGGGCGTGAGGGGGTAGAGGGGAGGGGTCGTGAGCACCGGCTCAGGGCCTGGCCCTTCATCCGTGCCGCCGCCGTCTGATTGGGATGCGGGGGGCTCCCCCGTACTCGTGACGGGCATGCTTGTCGGGGCGGCCTGGTTGGATGCGGAAGAGGGCGAGATGTCATCGTCGGCTCGGGGCAAGGGGCTGCCCGTGGAGGCAGACGGGGGGGAGTGGCCCTTGTTCCGCTCCGAGGACGGCTTGTCAGGATCAGTGGAGCGGCTCCTGCGTCGACCTCCCTTGCTGTGTCCTTTGGCCGCCTGCTTGCTGGATGATTTCCTGCGCGGCCATGGACCGGGGCACAGTTCGGAGGCGACTCTCTTCCCTCCTCCTTTGACTCGTCGAGAGGTCTTCGAGCCGCTGGCTCCCATGCGCTGACTGGGTTCACGAGGGCATGGACGTCACATGCATCGACGGTTGGATAGGGCGTCGGAGGGTTTCTTCAGCCGTTAGGATCGATTTAGCTCGCAATGGAATGCAAGGGGGGGAAACTGTCATTAACCGTAACACTCGTCTGTGTGTCCGTGATACTCATACAAATACAGTCCCATCAGCACGCAGACTCAAACAGGCTCAAGGGGAGGAGGGATCAATCCCCGCCCCATCAGCACACCCCAGTCCCGCAAACC